CAAAGACCCTTAAATGCCAGCTGAATTTGTCATGGCGTTCATCCGATGTCCAATACACTGGATCCATAGACATTGCCCGGAATTAGGACTACTGCATTTGAAGAGGCATTGGCAACTCAGCGTCGACGACTTGGACAGTGGAAGCCAGCTGGACTGCATCTGCGAATGGACCTTCAATGGATGATGAGTCTTTCCTGCAGGTCTGCAATAGCAAAGTCCCTCGTCATCTATTCGCATGGGCCACCATCCTGCGTGGCTCTGGCTTCTGATTGTTCAATAAAGCCTGTTCTGTTGAACCGATCTTTTTCCTATTAGGGCTCGGGTATTCTTCAGTGGTGTAGCGGAATGACAGATGGCAGCCATATTGGCGACTTCACGTGACCGGTGGTGCGACTTCCGGAAGCGTGCGGGCCTTGAATGACGCCCCCGGGGCCTAAGAGCTAATCCGCTCATGAGTTTTCCGTTTCTATTGTAGCCACGCGAAACGGACCAACGGGAGAACAGGAAGAACAGGACAAGGATATGTAAAACCCTTGTTTTCCCTTACGGACTGACCAGTTTGTGACCAGACTGTAGTGCTTCCTGTATCTAGTAAAGTTATCTGTGTTGCCTCTCAATCTTGTTCTTACCATGGGTCCGAAACCCACAGTGGCGACGCCTCAGTCAATCCTCTGTCTCTCTGCGTTCCAATGGCATGCGAGGAAGATAGGCGGCCAATCAGAGATAGACACGAATGAGGAGTAGTGTATACTAAACGGAGTGGCCAGTGTGGTGGATTCGGGTGGACGCCGCCTGACGTGTGGTTCAGTCTTGTGAATGATCAATAAAGACTGTTCTGTTGTACCAGTCTTATTCATGCTTGGGCTCGGGTATTCCACTGTGATGACCATAGGGCGCAGACATATTGGAACACATTGAACTCATTCAATCCTCAGACTCTTTGCGGTCCAGTGGCATGTGGGAGAGATAAGCAGCTGACCAGCGTAAGCTTCGGCCCCAAGGTATGGTCAAGGCGAGAGCAAGGTAAAAGTGAGTCGTTTAATGAAGACAAACTGGTCAAAATCTGGTCAGACGTAAGAAGGAAAACAGAGTCTTTATATATCCTTGAACTGGCCGCCCTGTTCTTCCGTTGGTCCTTTCAGTGGCGCTGAAATGGAGGCGGAAACCTTGTGAGCGGATTAGCAGTAAGTCCCCGGTGCGTCATTCAATGCCCTCGTGACGCCACGCAGCCAGAAGTCACGCCCCCCGTCACCTGACGTCGTTACCATGCCGTGCTGTTTACCTTCAACCAATGACTGGGCTCTAGGATGGAGACTATCTGCCATTCCGCAACACCGGAGACATACGCGAATGAGGAGCAGAATATAGTGAGCGGCATAGTCAGCGTAGTGAACTCGGATAGACAGCGCCCGATATGGAGTTCTGGCTTATGATTAGTCAAAGAAGCCTCTACTGCTGTACCAGCCTCCTTCATACCTGCTAGGGTATTCTGTAGGTACTTTTGCAAAGTTCAAAAGCGCAAGCAAATTGCGCTGCGTATTTTATGCCAATCCTACTTCTGTTTTCGTATATGAGACCTGTGAGGAAGATATGCAGCCAAATAGAGACAGATACGTATGAGGATCAGTACATAATTGTCATCGCAGAGGAACAATGTCTGACGGCCGATTGTGGCGCGTGGACTGTTTTAGCTCTGATATATCTGTTTGATCTAGGGTATTCTGTACGTTATAAAGGGCTATGATGGGAAAAGTAGGAACCATTTTCAAAATGAATAATGACTGTTTAACGAGTAGTTTGTTTTGGTGTTGCGTGTCACAAAAATGCATTTAAAATCAAAAACCAACAAATGGAGCCTAGGGAATCAGGGATGGGCAATAAAATAAGTATAGTCAGTTTACTTTTGTGGATTGATCAGATGTTCAAATTATATTAATCACGCAAATTGTGAATGACGCGCGAATCGTTTGGTGGCAAAAGCAGACTGTGCAGAAATTTGGTTACTGAGAATTTCATGTGAACTGACAACTTACTACCATCGTATTTATAAACGAACACAGAATACGTATTATAGGATCAGAGTGTTCAACGTTATAGATTTCAACGAATATAACCGTGACCTAAGTGCTTTGTGTGTGCATTATTTTACACGTGTCACAACAACGAAATTTTACTAATTAGTAGATTGCTTAATTATAACAAAAGAACAAAAAAGGCAAATGCTATTATGGACGAGAATTGTTCACAGCAGTATGCATAAATAACAAACCTGACTGCATGTAGTTTTTGCCTAGCTATTTTAGTGAATGCTCTGTGGCATGGTTTCAGAAACAGTTGAATTATTTCAAGGTTTGTAGTTGTATTAACTTAAAAAACCAGGTATAGTTTACACAGTAGGATTGCTATTTTCTCCGTCGCTTTAACTGTGATTGTATCTTAGTATCAAAATTAATTTATTAAAGAAGCAAAGCTAACGAATTTCTCATTAGTTTTCGCGCTGACGCATGCACTTGTTATCGAAATATCTGTTGTAGTTGTTGGCAGTTTAATATTGATTGCCATGACGTTTACTGTTTAGTTTAACACGTTTGCTGTTCTTTATATTTTAGCGTGTCTGTTTAATTGCAGGCTTTTAGGTGTTGAACACAGCGCCTACACAAATAAAACTACTTTGACAAGTCCTTTTAAAGGTTTTTGCATAGTTAGTGTGTCTGAACCATATTGTATTTGTAACTTTTGACTAAAACCGAAGAACTTGTAGCATTGTAAAATAAAAAGAAGAGTATGAAGAAAGTATTAAGGCTATTAAATTATTTATAGTGAATTTTTACGAAGCGCCATACCTTGAGTAGTCCCAGAAAAACTTCATGATACCTTTTAGCTAATTTTGCTCGAATGAAATTCATGCCACTTGGAAATTAACGTTTTTTGGTTTAACACTTAAGTAGTTAAGGATAACTTCCAGTGTGAATATTTTTTGACAAGGTAAGGAATATAAATTGCAGCTTCCTTTCCTTTTTGATTTCCAACGCAAGATTTTCTAATCCTACGTGTTTTATTATACTATCCAAGTTCCAAATGTGTTTTCCTTTATTAAAACTTAATGACTTATTGACTATACTTATAGGATTTAACAAATTGTTTTGTTTAATACTTGATTTTATTATCTTATTGTTTTTAAGTATAATTCGTAATAAATCTGCAAAGATTCCTCTCGGCTGTATATGATATGGATCCTCTAAAGCAGCTTTTCGCCCTTATTCAGTAGCATGTTTAGATATGTATGACCCCGTAAGTAATATCTTAAATGATTCAATCGCCAAGTCAAAGAGTAAAGTGATACTTCGTGGTATTCAGTTTACCCAAATATTCTGCTAATATATTATTGTAAAAAAATTATATACCCTTTTCTATTAAACACATGTAAATTTAAGAATTTTTAAGACTGTCAGAAATAATCATATGTTGTTTTACAATATTTAATGACATCTGTTGCATATTTTTTCATTTTTCATTAAATACTTAATAACAGTAGACTAAAAAGTGGATGGCATCATGTAATTAAACGTTTTTTGAGGAAATTTTGTTTATCAGTTGCAATGATTTTAAAATTAATTAACCTGAATAATGTTGTTTAATTGCAGCGCTCTGTAGGTCATACACTATCTTATTTTTTAGCGCGGTGTGTGTATGGTCCGGTATGAGGTATGTGGGAGCATTCCTGCATATTCAGCCTTCACAATAGGATGTTATGTTTTGTAACAATTTGGTTAACACATCATTATGGAAGTGGTTGTTGAAATGGCATTTAGCTGTTGACTGATTTTGCATAATATGTTTCTGTCAGCATTTAATGTATCACCTGAACAATAGCCTTAAAGGATTGACTTGTGCATTTGACACATATGCATGTAAAGATTTTTTTTCTAAAAATTAATGAAATTGCCTTTGACATGTGAAAATATTTGTGTGTCTGTATTTATACATGTCGAATTCATTTTAAGCTAACTTGTTATATTCATTGATGTTTTTGTTGTTAAATCATGTTATAATGCTTTATTTTTTGCAAATGGAGTCAGGGTTTTTTGACGTGATAATTAAACTTTAGCACTGCGTCAGCTATGAGTCCTCTAATAGCTGCTTTTGTTTTCGTCGCTAAATTTAAAAAAAATGTCTTTGATTTTCGTGATACCTTTAACCTTTACAAATGCTGTTTTTAGTTGTTTAAACAAGATTAGCTCCACTTTAATGCACAGCCTTTCATAGGTATAGGTTTTGGTCTAGTCCACCAAATTGAAAATGTTGTTTTGTCCATCGACTTTTCCTTTTGATTTGTGATATCCTCAACGCATATATAACTGCATTGATTTACACTGGCGATGATATAACTTAGTCAGTAGTCTCAAAATCTGGCAAAACACTGATAGTTGTTTGAAAGTATAAGCATTGACTTCTCAAATGTGGGTATTCAAACATTATGACATTCATATATGCTCTGATTGAGTTTGTTTTGATTTGGAGCGCTTTCCACCCGTGTTGCAACAAACCATGGTTTGAGGACAATAAATTGTAATTTGCCCGGTTTCCTAGGTTACTTTTCATAATGAACTTGTCTATTCTGCCTTTCCGTAATATGAATTTATTTGGGAAATTTACTTTCCATAAAGCAGTAATGGGAGATAAAACAAAACCACACTTATTCAGTCCACCTACTTCTGCACCATCCACAAGTCTATTCACTTTGGACAATGCTTCGACGCTGTCTGTTTACACAAACCCAATAGCAACTACTCTCTCTTCTCTATCTCTACCAGTTCATAAAAGGACCCATACTAGTTGCAATGATGGTAAGTCTTAGAGTACAAAACCCTCCTGCCTTTAGATATAAAGTCCTCGTTCTATTTTAATAAATTGCCTTTATTGCATAATCGTTTGCGTTTTGAATACTAACTTTTCATTCAAAGGCACATTCAATAAAGGTTTAATATTTCTTGCCCAAAGCTACACATGACAATAAGCAGCGTAAATTCATCAATAATGAACTGTTGATCTGTTTGCAGTAGAGTAGGAGAATTGGTCATAACAAAAAACTGCACTAAATTTTTAATGTTAAGAGCAATGCAATTCTTTAGTAAGAATTTTGCGAGTCTAATGAATGACTGCAAACTGCCATAAGACATGCTGTTAATATGCAAGGTTGCAAAGCTCTAATCTTTTCACACAAATAAACGCCAATTATGTGGGTAACTTTTCGTTAAAATAATTAAATTTCAACATCATTAAAACTAAGATCTAAAGCTTTATGTACTAAGACAATAAGATTCAGCTTTGAAGGCGCCAGTTTGGTATCAGGCCGAACTATGAAAAGCAACTCGAAGTCAAATATCACCAGTGAAATCGTTTTCTTCAGTGTTCGATTACTGTAATTTGCATGTAAAACCAACTTATTAACATGTCGTCACAAAATTAGTTCCTTTCGGTTTGGCTCTGCGAATTTTACATACAACAAAGGTAATTGGTTAATTGTTACTATAATCCACTACCCCATCAATATTCCAAATAGGATTTGCTGCAGCTCCTAAGGGATATTTTCATGATACAAAAGCCCAAGCATTATTATCACATTTCTTTCTGAAGCTAGGCACATTATGGCTAACGTATGTAGTTTTAGATGCTGATGCTATTAAATCTTTAACAATTCATGGGAGTTAATCAAATAAATGCCTAAGGCCAAAATTCTGCTGGGGTTCTATGGTGCTTGTTGCTGGCTTTATTCAAAAACTATTGACTTGTGGCGCAGGTATTTCTAATGTGACAAATTCAGCTAACCCTACATAGGGAGACATTTCAGTGTTCTTATGAGTTTTAACGTGCAAGAATCTTGTAACAAAAATAGTATTTGAAAAAATAACTTTATCTACTGTTTGATACTGTGGTTTTATTCAAAGGTTTCAAAGTATTTCTTACGCATTCAATATATCTACTGCACATTCTAATTCTCATGCGTCTTAGTTCTATATGCTGGATCAGTGATTTCATTTTAAAGAGTAGAATTTCGATTTTTGTGTTGAAGAATCAAGGTCGCCAGCAATAGGCCACTACTAATCACCTCCAGTTTCCTAGCCTCTAACAGGTGGCTGAAACTAATCTTAGATGAAATTTCAGCCACTGGCACCTGTTGTCGAACAGTTTGCACGTTTTTATGGTTGATTGCGTAAGTATTATCGCTTTATTTCCCAAACAGCTTCTGTTGTGACAAATCCAAGTTCGTCATTAGCCCCTATTCCTGCATCACCCAATTTCCAAACAGATCAGAAATTTTCAAAGGTGAGTCTGAATTGTCGTTTTGGTGTTTGTTCACATTTTTTTCTAATTCGTCTCTTAGTCGTGTTTTATTCTCGTGCCGAAACCACGTGCCCCTGGCAATCTGCAGCTCCCCTAGGGTATCATCTCAGAGTCCTTTACCTGCTGAGCCATTGATTGGTTGGCCTTTCGGCATATCATTATAAAATGGAGAGGTGTTGATAGGGTGGGGTGTTGTTAGCGATGGACTGGTATTTGGCTTTGGCAGAAGTGTTTCTGGGTAGCAATTAGTATACATAAATTTGAATTCAATCATCAGGAAAAACTGCGAAGGTTTAACTTATAACACACAATTTTTATTAACGTTTTGGATTTTACAAGAGTGGTGATGGATCAAAGCATTATTGAACAGGATGTATACCTGCATTGCTTGCTGTCTGTTACTTTTAACCATCCAGGTTCTAAGTCTCCGTTCCTTAATTTGCTGATAAAATTCATTGTTCGATAAATGAGCAAGACAGGCTAGGTTTTAATGCCAGCTGACCTCCGCATTTACTGTCTCAGTCAGGTTGCTTGTTGCTGAGCCAGAACTGCTGGCTTGAATGTTGGCCGAATAAATTACTACTTAAATTATGTCAGGATTTTCGTAGAAGCGGTTGGTTTCCTTTTGTGAAGATCCTTGTAACCATTAAGTATAATTAACGCATATGAACATTATGCCCTTTGAACGCACTTTCTGCGGGTAGGCTTAATCACATTAAGTCCTTCTCATTACTTGCTAACACGTTGAACGGATACTTTCGAAATGAGACACCCCGCCTAACGTCGTTTTATGTTGAATTAGCACCCCAGGAAAAAGAGAATGGCTCAAAAATGTGTTTAGGCAGCAGCAGCGCTATTGTGCTATTTGTTGTCATTGGGTGCCCAAGTCATGAAAGACACCACATTGCAAGTCTTCCGATTGTTTATAGTGTCAGTTTGAACTGAGGCGGTGTATGCGCACGTGTTTGTTGGCTGGCTCACCAAGTTTGGTCTTCGTGCAAATAAAAATTAGATCAGCACAATTTGAACGAGTGCGAAGTCAAAAAGGTCTGAATCGTGGGGACACTCTAACTTGATTTTCTATTTAGTCATGTAGAAACCGCGCATTAGTTAATTTGTAGAACAACAAGGGCTTGCACGTGTTATTATAGATCTCCAAAATCTAATTTTATCTACTTTTTTGTTGACTTTAAGCAAAATCACGTAGTGGATGCAAGTAGGAAATTAATTGCTACATTTTTAATGCTTTATATAAATTTTCGAATGTTTTGCAATAAAATTTAGAACATTTGGTGACCGTCGATATTGCTGTTCTTTCAAATTGGTCTAATGCCGCATTTTTTTATGATATATGGCATGTTGACCATTGCCCTACCTTATATTTCGGCAATAATTGTTTACTTTCGCACTTCTGGTATTAAAGTTAGGCACGACACTGATAGATTAGTAAACATTTTACTAAATCGAGATATCATGTTGACCAGTGGTCAGACAAGGCGAAAGCGCCCCCTTCAACGCTGTAACACCCGAAGTTGCAATCTCCGATCTGATTCCGATGAATGGCAACCCTATGTCGGTGGTAAATCTAACGGAAGCACAGAGTATGAAGCACTATTATTATTATTATTTTAAATAGTTTTGGTTGATTATGGATTACTGGTTAAACGTATTGATTCTTAATTAGCAACTTGTACATTTTTTTGTAAGTGTAGTTGTTCTTCTTTAAGGGTGACGTTGTAAAAACGCCAAGCGGAGTAAGGAAAAAATTTAACGGGAAGCAATGGCGTCGTCTCTGTTCTAAAGAGGGCTGTACAAAGGAGTCCCAACGGCGGGGATTTTGTTCGCGTCACTTATCCATGAAGGCAAGTCCCGAAACCGCGTCATTTTCCTTGTATCTATCTGAGCAGCGCATCTTTCAGTAATTTGACTTGGCTAACATCCAGGGCTATCTTTTTGAAGATTTAATAGAGATTTCAGCCTGTATAGCTTGACAACCTCAAATAGTGTATTTTAACAAGTTGTGAAAATTCCAAATATTATGTCGGTAGTGTTACTTTTCTTCGAAACATTGCGCATCATCGGGTTCCTTGCGTGTACTAACGGATGATTATCTTTAAGGGCTTAATGATATTGAAGGTTTCTATTCTCTCGAGAAATGATGAGTGTGATTGCAGAAGATAAAAACCACAAGTGGATAATAGGGATCAGTACTTCGCCAGCAACAAATTCATCCAAACTTCGAACTACCACTTACAAGCACGAGTAATAAACCTCAACCATAAAACATTTACCTCTTTTTTGGTGTTCTGTTGTAAAATGTCACATGTTTCCTGTTTTCCTTAAATTGGCTTTTTATTGACAGCGGAAAATAATGTTGTTTTGTATATTCTGCTGTACATATTTTCTCATTGTTTCAATAATGAAGTTTAACGCTGGCATTTACGCACAGGTTCTTTATAAAACTGTGAAAACAATGGATTCAGACATGCGATAGCCATACTGCCTATTGTCCAAAGGTTTAGAAAGTGGCTGGTAAGGACATAATGAACAAATTAGGAAAAAGCGAGTGTTGAGCCGTTTATCGTTTACTAAATCTCTCTGTTGTGTTTGTGGATGCTTAATATAGGGCTATACTACTACTTGGGCAGAAAATCAGTATGTAGCGATGATGGAAGTATGCTGAAATGAATGACGGATTCATTTACTAGCCCCAAACTTAGCCATCTTTAAAAGTACCAAATTATCGGGAGTTAATCGTTGCATTCACTGAATACCCAGATGCATCCTATGCACATGCAGCGACTTGTGTTCCATTTTAGCGAAGTCACTCGAGAATCACGAAAGTATACTTGTCACCTTTTTCGCATAGCCACAGTTATGCCGGCTTTGACGAAGCAAAATATTTGGCAAATCAAAACATTTAGTTTGTCAACTTCATTGACGCACTTTTAGGTGAAAAATCCTTTAGAGATCGATTCAAAGTCAGGCTAGATTCTCAAAAAGACCACAATCAATTAAAGCGCCAGTTATGCAAAGGAAATTTTCATCTGTTTTGGTACAGTCTCAAACTAATTAGTGTAACCATTAGGTATATTTAAATTGTCGAAGCTAATTGTAACACAATGTTGTCTTTGCTATTTGCACGAATGGGTTTTAATAGATTGAAATGGGATATGAAAATTAGCGTTGCCAAGTTCAGGATATATCAATTTCTTTCTCTTAATGTTACGGTGAAAATCGATATTCGATTTAGGTGACAGTTTTATATACACAAAATACTTATTCTTTCGTTTGCTTCTTCAATTTGGCGACTCCTCATTTTAAATGACAAGTTCGGCTATCTAATCAATCATCACGAATCCTCCTCATATGTAATCGTTCACTTTTTACTAAATCGACTTTAGGGTAAGGAGATGCGAGCCTTCAGCTATGCGGCTGCCACAGCGGCTGCGGCTAAAATGTTTGCAATGAGTGCAGCTCGGCCACAGCACCAATCGCCCCATCAACTCCCCACATCGTCCACCGACTCATCACCAGTGATGCGGGACTTTGCTTATAACTCCTCTTGCGGCTACGGCAGCACCCCAAGGTCCATACCAAGTAGAACTAAAGGTTAGTGGCGATGCTGCACTCGAACAGTGCATTATGTAGTGTGATTATGACTATGCATCGAACCCCATAAAATAACGATTTTTGAAGAAAACCATTGATGGTAAGGCTAGACAATCTAAACTCTTTCAGAATTTTTAGCAATGTTTTTAGGTTATTTGAATCCGCAAAACATAGATCTTGAATTTGAATACGATATTCCGTATTTACAACATTTGAATTTGGTGCTGTGAAGTCACTTAGAACGGGTAGTACTTCCCTTAAAGACAGGAGAAGTTGACGTCTCCACCATGACTCTACCTGCTCTGTATCAATATTTGATGCCGAAACCGATTTGAATCAAGGACATGCATGTTTTTTAATTGTTCCTTTGTAGCAATCACACATATTATCTCGATGAACGGCCCAAGTCTTCAAACTTGACACGCTTTACAAATTAAATCTAAGCATAATCGGAAATCAGTTTGCCTATTGAAATCTGTTAATTCCGTCTTTCTGAGAGTTATCCTACTTTGCTAAATTTTTGCGCGAGCATTCATGTCGAATATTAGTTTCATTGCACAACTAACTACACATGTTTGTGTCCTACTTTATACGTGCTCTTGCAGTTCATCCTACGTCTCCGAGTGCTCTACCAACGCCGTTGGACCTCCTTCCTGTTTTGTCACACGCCAACCCTTGGCGCCCCTCACCGCCAACAGAAAGGTCCTATTTCGGTCCCGCACCCGCACCCCCACCACCTCCCCCTCCTCCTCCTCCAGCTCCCTCTTCTCCCACTGAGGGCACCAACGCGACTTGCTGGACATGTTATCCGACTGCTGCTGCTTCTTCAGCCTCCAACAACAGCGTCCTGCTGTCCGTTCACAACCCGAACACCTCCCCAGTCAAGACAGCTAGCATTCCGAACTCCGTCGACGCAGTCACTTCGGCGTTTTTCCAACCCACTGGAAGTGGCGGTGGCGGGGACCTCCCTAGTCAACCCATAACCGCTTGTCCTTAGGCTTCTTTTCCACTCGCTGCTTTGTCTTAATAAGCGCCACCCACCCTTTTTCTCGCATTTGCATTTAGTTTCTTGTATGTGATTGCTTGATGTCATTCGCATCCCCAATTGACCAACCAGCATTGTGTTTTTCATTTTAAATTATACCTAAGTTTGATTTGTTTATCGCTTGACATGGACGGCGCGGCACATCGGGTTTTTGATTAACTTTAAGTATAATGGCTTAAATCTGTTATTAATTTCAGTTGATTCAATTCCGCGAAAATCGGCAGCCTTGTCGTAGATTTTAAGTGTAGCTAGATCTTGTTGCATACTTTAACAAACAACAGGTGAACATCTACTTCGGTGTTGATTGCCAAAAGCTGTCTTCAGAACTGATATAGATTACTAAAATGGTCACCTATGTTGTGACAAATGGAATACTGTATTTTAGTTTGAGTGCCAATTCTTACAACAACTAGAACGTCTGTCATGACTGTGACTCATTAACCCGTTACCAAAAGCGGCGGTTGGTAATCGACTTAAAATTTGCCGAGCTAATTATCCATGATTATCGAAGTCGGTCTTGTGGTAAAATTAAAAATTCAAGACATCTCTCATTCATAAGAACCTTTAATCAGTGAGTTTTGTTCCAACCACAGGCATCTTTCCAAATAGGAATTCAATTTGCAGACTAAGAGTCTGACTTTACCCAGAAATCATTGCAAGTGCCGCGTAAATCCGTACTCTAACAACTGTGGTCATCTCTTTTCAGGAGTTTAACAGCGGTTTACTTGTTCAGAGCCTCGAAATTAGTCTCACAATTGAAAAGATTCCTCCAGCAGTTATTTATTAATTCACACTGTTCTTACAACTTGCCACCTACTTGGACTTGTCATTTAAGAATAGCTAACATTTGGTACACCTGATTTTTGCCTAATTGAGGGCTTTGCATTGTACACTTGACCGTCAAGAATTAATCCTAATTTGTCCAAACATTGTGTTTCAACCTGAACGTGTCGATGATACACCTTTGTCAAGGCAACATTCTTTTTTCCAAAATAACCGAGTTCCAAACAAAAGGCTACGCGTAGAATACCGATACTATTTCGAAAGCTCGTGCAATTTAATTTGCAAAAATCTTCTGAAACTCACACTTGATTCAGGAAACATCAATGATTACAGAAGCAGAGGCTAACAGCGGGCTAAGTGGTTTACGAAGCCACTGATTTCAAGTTGCTACGGCAAGAAAATAAGTTGCAAATACAAAACAGCTCAATGTCACTTTTGACTGTTTCTAAAGCATAACGGAAATGTAAAATCTCACCCTTTTTCTTTAACTGTGATCACGACTTAACGTCAAGGAACTAACTGAAACACTACCTTTCTGCTCTTTAGTATCCGTTTTACAAAGTGAGAAAGCTGTAACGCCTACGAGATATTTCAACGCTGCCTCGTAACTTTATGTAGGGCATCCTGTTTAAAAAGACGAAAAATACGATCTGCGGTAAAGGCAGTTGGAAGCATTGAGAATGTGTGAGAGGACATATCTATCAAGTGGGTTGTGCTTATTTTTAATGGGTAAACCGCGAGACAATCTCCTCTTGAAACTCCCGAAAGAAACAAGATTTTAGCATGGAATTATTCAGTCACCATTTAGACAAAATCAAGGTCCTCAAAATTAAAATATACTATTTTCTGCTAGAGCAGCCTCAGTTTTTTCTTCTAAATCTAAGCCTAGTATGGTAAATATATAAATCCGTCACTTAGTTATAAAATCCTTGATAACGAATATCGTACTTTCGAGTCTTCATTAAATTATCGAATTGCCTCTAAGACACCATTGAGAGTCTCAATAACAAATTCAACATATGGCACATTGCAGCAAGAAGAAGGTGCACTGCACCAGGCGATGACGCGAATTGATGGTTTGTTACTACCAAACAAGATATATTTGAAAATGGGACCCAAGACAATAATGAGAGCATACCAGTGGAGATGAGGGTCATTCGTTTATTTACTCTTAGAACTCTTAACCAAATAGTGGGAAAATCATCAAAAAATTTTGGGGACCAGATCTCAGTTAAGATTTTCTTTAGGAAATTCATACAAGTCATTTTTAACCATGAGCACATAACCTTCGAGTTCAATTACTTTACTTTTGCTTAATGGCCCCGCACAAGCTCCTGACTACGTATTTTTTTATATTTAGACTGTCAGGTTTGCATTAAATTTGCACACAAAACAAACGAATCCGTTGTGCCAACCCTGCTGCGTCAACCTTTCACTACCCTTCCTCTTTTTAGGTCAAATGTGTGTAAAAAAACAGTGGGATCGTAAAGCAGCCCCGTTGGTTGTTGCAAATGCCAGACATAATCAAAAGCTTTGGTTATTCTGTTGCGCACCAATGGATAGTATGATGCGCCATTTAGTCAACGGAGTTAGGCCTCATCTAAATATGAAGTAAGCCTAACAGCAGAAGGTGGGAGCTGAGTTCAGAGGTAGCGTAAACTTGTAGTTTGTGGTGATACAAGGAAAGTTCCCTTTGAGCAGATAAGACCCCACAAATGTGACTATACAGTAAGTTGACTTACTCCTTTATACTTGTCTTGAGACAACTGAATCCACCGGCACACCAAGCGTTAATTATGTGCCTAGATTTTGTTTTCACGTGATTAAAGTAAAATGGTAACTCGAAAGCCGTGTTAATTGTGAACTCATTAACATACGACTAGCACAATGCACGAGAAGGAAACTTGAGCTAAATGTGACGTGCAGGTATTCAGGTAAATTGATTATTTAATGGGTCGGATACATGAGTATGAACAGCAAAAGTATCTTCTGGTTTGCAGGAGTAGTTCCGAGTGCTTAATGAAAATCGGAAAACACTCTTGACACAGTGACGCCCGCATATCAAGGTAGAGCCTGCATGTGCGAATGGTGTGTTTACACTATGCATTCAATGATTACACTTCAACGCCAAGTCTGGAGTTTGGGGCGGCAAATGGAAAACACTTCTGTCGACCTTGTACCAATGTATTAAAAACGCTTCAGAGATTACCGCTCCGCTGTCACTCCTCATAGCCTAAAAAACCCAAATTTAGTCTTTCTGATTTAGTGTGGAAACAAGTTTATGCCATACCAGCCTTAAGTGATGAAGGAAGTTACGAGGAGTAAATTAAGTAGTGTAGCCTTAGATGCATCTTAAATTGGCAGGACATTGACAATGGCTTAAGTGCGACAAAATTTGCGATAAGGTTTAAAAGTTAAATTTATATTGAATCAGTTACACTTGTTCATTACTCAAATCTCTACCGCAAGGTTAAACATTAAAGCCTACCTTTGGAGCCATCTCACATATACATTCTGGAAACCGCAATAGACGGCATGGAAGTGTGGACAACATAAAGCATCTCAAATTTTGGAAATTTACGCAAGGCTAACCACGACAAAATAGTAATAAGTCCGATTATGCCTGCCATATGTCATGTGCGAGCTACAACCTCCTTTAATAGGAAAAGGAATTTTCCCACGAAACATGAACCTGAATCTACATTTTCTGAAAACGTATGGAAGGTTAAAAACACCCATTTTGTGGGCAGCAAATTTTTGCTAGAAAATCGAATACTACTAGAAACCAAAGCATAAACGTGAGTCCACGACATTTGTTTCGACTTGTGCAGTCATAGTAATGTCTTTTTGTATACTTCACTAAGCGTTCATACCAAGTTGTTTCAAATGCATCTCTGATTGAATGATATGCTACCTTGGCACGATGCGCAATCGACATCGCAGGCCGACAAAATCATGATACGGCAAAAATCCTCTAAATCAGCTTGCATGTCTGCAACTATTAGCGATTTTTGACTAATAAGAACATGTACAAGTTATACACAGAATCATCGAAAACAATGGAGTGGTTGCTGCTTCGCAGGACTCCGTGTCGCAAAGCACAATGCAACCAATTGGAGTAATTTACAGGTAAACCTAGTGCGTGAATTTTCGCAAACCATTCCGTGCTGTGGACAGACAGTAAACGCATCGGCATGAATTACCAATGTTTCGGTTTGCGCCTTTAAAGTGGTTTAGTGACACTGGACGAATAAGAGGACTCAGAGGAACAACCGCTCACGGCTGCTCTGAATCCACGCCCGTTGCAAATTTATGCAAAACTTGTTAAATACACCTTTTTCAAAATAGGCTTTTCAGTAGCACTGAGTTGCGGAGAAAGTGCGGCAACAAAACGCTTTGCTGGATTGCATAATGCATCGGAAAACGGTGTTTTTAACTAAAATAACATGAAAGACACTCCAGAGCAAACTTTGGATACAAGATGCATCCAACAAACTGGGTTTAACTCCAAGAGATTCGGCAGTATCACTAAGCCACATGTAGCTAATTCACATAATCATGGAGCTACAGTGTTAGATTTACCACGAGTCGGTGCTGAATTTGCAAGTCTCATTGTCTAGGTGCGGGTGAGTGAGAAACAAAAAATAAAGTGGTAGAAAAACATTGTAGGAGAAAAAAATGGGTGATAGTATTTATTTGTTCCGCTTGTATTAATCAAATCAAACCGCCACTTAAAACAGAAAGGCACATGAGTGTTGTCCACGACACAATCACGTAAGGCATTTACATAAGTTGATGCAGGTTAGGGAATAGGACGAATTGGAAGTCTGTATTGCGTTAGAATATTATTTTGCTGCTTGATTTTCAGTGAAAGTTCTCTAACAAACACCGAGAGGAAAAAAAAATACAAAAATAGGAAACACAAAGGTGTGCACATGTGTAGGATCAATAACGCCAATGCTGTATAGGGCGGGTCCTTTTCGTTGTGCAGAGCCATCCTACCAATGAAAGTACTGGTGGAGGTTCATCAATTGGGAAGAAGGCTGAGATCAAGGCACGGGTTGCTGTGCGGATTGGCGTCTTCCACAAAATAATTAGGCGATGCTGTTCCCTGTGTATATTTTTGCTGCTAAAAATCGTCATCGAAAAGAGTGTAAACTTTGAGGTAGTCCGGTTTATCGGAAGATGATCGGGAGGATTTCGTAGTACGGAAGGGTAAAGCGTATTTACAATATGATGTTTGAGGAAGAGTTAGGATTGGGGGTCGGGCGTGGTTCTTGTCGATTTTGCTGTGAAGAATCTGGAAAAGGCGTAAGGGAGTGGTTAGAGAAAGCGATTGGTTACCTGGCACTGATGAGACGCCTGTTAACAAGTCATGATAAATAGAAGTGGAGGACGGGTGGTCTCCATTTCTTTGGTTTGGTAATCGGCCATTCGTTAAACCGTTTGAAGTTGTTTGAGCACTAATAACTGGAGAGTTACCAACGTCGGGACAGCGCTGGGACAACCGCGAGCCGGTACCAGCACCTCGCAAAAACAATAAATTGTAGTCCCGGACATGATGTTTTCGCAGGTGCGTGATGGTCAGCTAAAAAGTAACACAAAGAGGGATCTGAGAAAAACACCACGAAGAAACAAAGCACAACGATTTTCACCAATTTAAGTGCACATCAGTTGTAGCATATTGGGATGTGATAAAAGTTGTCCGTCGATTGTTATTAAATCAGCGATATCTTTGTATATAGCAGGCTCAATTGCTATAACATTACCACATTAACAGGCCTGTATTGAGGGCATTGAAATTTGTGGACAAAACAAAGGGTACATTTGCAAAAACCAAAGTGACAAAATTTCATGCCTTTTAGGTGGCTTAAACTGGTCTTGCAGACACGCAGCCCACAGTCAAACAATAGTATGACGCAAATGTGCCAACTGACGAAGAAGCAATGTTGTAAATAAGGGGTGAGTCCGGCTGTTGCAGCTACCGGTATAGCCGTTGCTTTGTGAAATGTCCAAATGAGGCATTTATGGCTTTCTAATACATTTTCAAAGGCAGGAATTTGGCCAAATAAATCGGACTCGACTGAGAAGAACGCGACGAGCACTTGCATGCGACCGATAACCGGTCAGTGAACAAAGAAACTGATAACTCAGGGAGAATAGAAGGTGGCTTCTAGCGCTGGCCCACGTCATGGATATGCTACACATTGACAGCACAATGTAACTAACCGTTTAATTCCAACATAATTGATTTTGAAAACCGTTGCAAACACAATACACGGCATTTTAATGAACCAATCCCAGTAAGTATAAAACGTCAACAAGGATACGAATCCGCTTGATTAAGGTCAGGGGCATTGATTTGCCTCCTCAGTTAAATATAATTTTAGGTGTTTATGAGGTCGTCGTTGACAAAAACACTCATTTTGACCGTCACTTTAGTGTTCCCATTCAAACGCGGTTTCCAGATATCCTGCGTTTTTTTCCAAACACAAAGAAGATAAAACACCGTTTGAACTAGTAGTTTGCAGTGTGAATGGACTCACCTGATACAACAGACATCCTAAAGCGAATCCAATTGTTAAAACGGCCGTAATAAAGAAGCTCAAGCGGATGGGGTCGGACGTGAGCCAGGCCCACCCACCCCCGATCCCGCCAGGTGAGTTGGCCAAGATGCCATCCGGGAAGCTGAAATTCTCGTACAAGCCCAAGCCTCCACCGACGGCTGCCCACGATGAACACGTGTCTATTTTAGGGCACAAGACAAACGCAAATGAGAACTAGAGAATTGTGGAAAGTGGTGGTTCTAAGATTTTAATGAGTAGCGAATCATCGTCCAAAAATTAAAGCTTGAAATACTGAAGATAATTGAAGCGGTAGTTAGAGTAATGCACAAAAATAACTGTAGCCTATCAAAATTAACTCTAAACAGTCAAAGTTTCATAGCCCATTGGGTAAATAAATTGGAATATCACACGTAGCCATGGCAAAAAGAACGGGTTAGGTTCGAGTCCTCAAAGTAAATTGATCGCTAATATCATCAAGTATTTGGGAAAATTAAACTTACGAAAAGCCAAAAAGATCTGCTCAAGGTAGCTACGAAGGGCCACAAGGACAGCAACTTGGTTTTTATTAACTTACGCGTGGAACTAAGGAGAGCAGAAACACACTAGCGGAGTACAAATAAGCCAAGTAAGTGAAAAGCCAAGTATGAGCTAAATAGCATAAATTTTGACTATTTTTATGGGTGAATAATAGATACAAGCATAAGTCTTCTTCTTGAGACCCTGAATTTCATTCCCTTTAAACACATTTATTCTGTTGGGACTTGTTTTCACAAACTACCACGCAAACTACGCACGAGGTATACTTCTGTTGCACTAATTTTACTACATGGATAATGCACATGCACGTTAGCCTGTGCACCCTGAGGATGTAGTGGTTGCCAGTCTTGGAAAAATACACCGAATTGGACGACAGGACATTCAGAATACGCGCCATGAGCCTCCACAGCCTTCGGTGGTGCGGAATCGGGGACAGCCGGTTCCATCCCAAAATGATGACATCATCTTCAAGGCAGTGCAGCAAATGAGGTTTCATGGACAAAAATGTGGTGTGCCTACGCCAGGAAGTCAATTGCTACGGCTCCATTCCTCACGGGTTCCAAGCTCGCAGTTTACTTTACCGTTTTTGTCAAAGTAGTCTGACTGCTACTAGAGGGATCCAATGCTTGGGGCAATTGAGCACGCAGGGAACGGAATGTTGTTTCATGACGACGATTTCATAATTAGAAAAAAAGTTAACATACACTTGAATCCCTAGATCAATACTTCAAGATTTGCATGGCGGGTTTTTAATCCGAATCTTTACTAAAGCGTTTTAAATTACGATTTTGAGCACCGAAAGAAGCATGTCTAAGTTTCTGGGTGCGTTGCATTGCATTTAAAAACGCCATCATTTAATTTAGCTGATGCGCTGACTAACTTGACCCCTGCAAAAATAGGCATTTAGGCGACTAATAACTAATTTCAAAACAATTTGAATAAATAGGCATAACCGCTTGCTTGAATTATTCACCACCTTTAGTTGTGTCATCGCGTAAACAAAGAACCGACGTAGGGACCAATAAGCCATTCCCCAAACTACGAACGAGAAGTAACTATGGCTGGATCTAGAGATACAAAAAACAACAGCGGTAAAATCTTGGGAATAACGAAATTCAGGTATCCCCCGTTGGCAGGAAATACTGTAGATCGAAGTATTACGAGCACAATTCCCAAGCTCCTGGCTGAAGAAACATTTTCGGTCTCAAGTGAGGAAATATGCAATGAGAACGGTGTCAAAAAAAACAGGTCAATGTTTGTTCAAAACCATGTGCATTGACACTATTTTGTTAATGCGGTGACATTCAGAGGCGTTTCGGCTGGGAATACCTCCAGGAGTTACCAAGACACAATTAAGCATTGCAGGTGATTAGCACTCTACTAATGAGCTGAGCCATCTGATTGCTAAGTTCCACCGTGACAACTAAGGCGGTGTCGTGATCAGTTTTAAATATTACTAATAACTGAGTTCATCAGCTGTATTAACATACCCTTTAAGATAACTCGAATGGCAACGTATAAATTTTTTGGATTATTATTAAACAAATAACTCATTTACTATCTCCTTGGTATTGAAATCAACACTTCGTTAAAGGTATCAGAATCCCTAGGCAAATGTTTCCAAATCACGTTAATCACCAGTTACCGAGGTCCTGATTACTTTCCCCACAATTACTTCGGGTTACACTAGAATGACGGTGAGCATTCGTATTTTTTGCCACAAAAACATGCATATACCAAATATAAAGGAGTCTGACAAGACATGCGTTTGTAGGGGATAGGTTGTTGATCAAGCAGGATTATTTAGACGGAACAATAAAATTTAATAGCGATCTTATTAGGATTCACTTGAGGGTCTAGGGAAATCAGAAGTGGACACAAACGGAAAAGACCGGCGTTGAGAAACGTATCTGTACGGAAAGGGAATGCTGGACTTAAATTCTGTCTATAATCAAAATTGTGATCGCTGGGTTGCTTGGGCCGTGGTGTAGACCCGTGCACGGGCAAGGAAGTAGGCGTCTCGTCGCTATCTCCTCCTTCAGCCCATCCCCCACCAGGGTGCACACGTGCACAATGGCGGCACCGTTGGCGGTCAATCCGTATGCTGCAGCGCTGATGCACCATTTAAGATAAACAAACGAATGCGCGCGCAAGCGCGATTTCTGAGACACACACATACTACGGTTTCACGTGTGTGTGTGTGCGTGGGTGAATAAACATGCGGACAGTACACGAGCATATGCAGCGAGTCCGTGTTGTAAGAGGGTGTGTGTGGCAGACTGATTATCAGCCAATATATACATACACACGCACTTGCAAGCACGTGTGTGTGTGCGTGTAACAGTCACGATGTCGTCAAAATTTATGAGTGAACTTGCCTGTACGGCACCTCGGCATTGTCGTGACGGTAAACGCAACCCAGGGATAGAGCGGTTTCACTTAAATTTAATCCAGAATGCTTATTCGTGAGGCAAGCCTCAGGGTCGAGAGACGTGAGCATACGACTTCCGACGAGCACATTGCGCAACCTATAAGCTAGGATCGGAAGTCACACATTCATGGAGAATCCGGCAAACAATTGAGGCTAACCGTCTGCTGTCAAAGGCACCTTTTAGCGTTACCCCACATATGTTCCGCACGACATTTGGAATTCAGAAGACTCACTCTCATTCGGCAGGCAGAAGAGGCAATCGAGGGGGGGTTTGGTATCGAGCAGTTTTTCTGCACCACAGCACAGATAACACGTGCCGGCGGTAACTTGCAGGATTGTTCCTTCCAGCAGGGATTGATGATCCTGGTTGGCATTCGCTGACTTTACTGGTGGCGATGGTTCCAAACACGCCGGCGACGGGCCCAAAACGCTTCTTAAGCGACGACAATCGAGGCAATCAGCGGGGGACGGACCTCGACAACTCGCGCAAGAAGGATGACAGGGCTTGCATTTCTGTGGCAAAGGCGAGATGGACATTTTTTCCAACACGCACACACACACACACACACCAATGCAGCAAGTAATTTCTTACAGGGAATGACTTAATGCCCCAGATCTTTATGCACAATCAACAATAAGCATTAGAATGCAATAACAGTGAATTGAAATACTACGACGACGCTTCAGTCGTGCAAGTTTATTAGTGATTGAGATTTGATTAACAGTGTGTGGAGTCGTCTCTCAACGACGCCCATGATAGCCACATGGACGCCATTTGGGCTAGACCGTCGTGAATAGCTCTAATAAAATTCATTTAAATAATGTTTGCCGTTATCGAGGAAACCGCACCATTTGGTAGATATCAGGCGTGGTCGCAGTCTCATTGCTAATTTTATCCAAATGCATAGAATTTGGCAAGCAGTCATGGAAAAACCAAATAATGTGCTAGCTTACTCCATCTATGTGGTCAAAGTATGTTTCGTGGAAGCACAGTGGAGATGGTTCACATTTACCGCTGAGTTCGTTGACCGCATAACCCTCCTCGCATCGAGTGCACTTGTCGGGGGCTACAGTTAGATAGCAATGTTAAACATGTGTTACTAATGGGAATTAAGTAAAAATCATATTAACCTGAGCAGGCTTTGCAAAGTGGGGGACAAGGAAGGCAGACACGTTCACCGTCAATCCGGGCCACGTAGGTTGCTTCCGGGCAAAAGATGACGCAGCCATACCCAATGAGCTTCGGATTTGTAAATGAGATCAGAGGGTTGAGCTGGCGCTCCCCATAAGCCAAATAGGCCCCAGGCGAACACTGAAGGCACGAGTCCAGTTCGTTGACACAAGTTGAGCACATGTGGTGACAGGCGCGGGAACAGTTGCCTCCGTAAGTTCTAATAAAAAAAATCATTTTAAGCACAAAATCAACTTAATGGCTTGTGTCTTAGTGACAGTGCACACGTTCATCTTTGCGTCGTTTCCGGGGTCAAGGTCATCAAGGCGGGACGTGAATTAGTGGGCTGGCGATAAAGTAAATTGGGTTTTGTAGACTGAAATAAAATTAAATTGTCCAGGCAAAGAATTAGCTTCGATTAGTAGAATACTTTCCCTTCTGCTAGTCGAAAAAATATCAATTGGCAGGCATAAATTTCTAACCGTAAACTCTGGAAAGTGGGAGAAAGGAACCCGGGATGTGTACATGCGTATGAAGGCCACCAGAAACGGCTCGTAGGAGCGCAACGTATGAAGGTGTGCGCCTACCAACCGATTAACCTTTTTTGGGCCTTTTTACTTACCTTCGTAAATCCCTGTCTCTAACTGACCCACGTTATTTGAACAATCACCCACATACGCAACTAGATCCAACATGCTTAGAGGGTGAAAAAACCTGTCGTGTCATGTCGTATCATGTTCTCTCTGGACCTCAGTGGATAGTTACTAGATCTCAACAATTAAATGAAACCGATGACAGCGAAGGTTGAATCTCGGAGCAACTTTCTGCATGGCGCTCTCAAACGCATCAGAGTAGGGAAAATCAAGCAGATACTGTGCTCAAAACATACCCAATTGGACAGGGCGAATGACACGTGCCAGCATCTCCGTCTAGTATGAGACCCGTCTGACAGACCTCACACATTGGGACCACATAGCCCTGAACGTGTTTTGTCGAGGGAGAACACCTCGCACACCCGGGGGGACAGGGCGCGCACACCCAGACACCGTTTTCTGCAGTGAAGTCAACCGGCAATTCGGTCGCATAGAAACCCGACTTGCTCAACTGGAAAGCAGGATAAAAACCTGGACGGCAGACGCCCTCACAACGGCCCTCGTGCATAAATCTACAAATTTAACAAAGCCTTACACAGTCCATCCACATGCAATCCAGGATGCTGAGGCATGCTTGTTGACCAAGGCCTTCAGAAATCAATACACTTTATGTTCGCTATCTATCAACACAAAGACCCAGGATTCGAAGCCAATTATTTTATTCGGTCAACATTAATTTCATACTGTCGGCCTGAAAGCAGCTTCAAGATGTGCTTCCGAAATCTAATAGAACCATCACCGGTGAGTTCCAAATTAATAATTTCGATTGCCATCAGGAGAGGGAAGTATCAAGTGATTGAAAGTGGAAATTATTTCAAGAAGCTAGAGCACATACATTTAAATAAATAGGGCATTACTTGTAGAGATGATTTCTACTATTACTGGAGCAAAGAACACCCTCGAGTCACGTCTCTATTAGCCAACAACCGAAACGTCCACAAACGCGCTGATTAAGGGGGCATGTTGCTCCGTCGACTCAAGCAATTTTCGTTTTGAGTTAGTACTCACCGATGGTCAAAACGGCAGTAGGTACAGAGACCGTAGTCCGAGCAGGAGTCGAGATCACAACCGGGGTCGCAGGGCACACAAATGTTGCCCTGCAGGAAACTGCCTAAGCAGAGAAAGGCAAAAAAGTTGTAAATCAAACCGTAAAGCTTCCTGTGAGGTGCAACGCGGCCAGAAAGGCAGAACACTCATTTCTTGGCCTCAGTTCTACTCAATACGTATATAGGCAACAATGGAACTCACGTTGGTGTTGCTCTTGTGGTTATATACAAGTCTAATGTGAGTCTAAGGAAACAGGTATGTCAGAATCCATCGTGCAAGTAATGTTAGTGTATGATAAAACCAAAACAGTATTTTTAGGAATCATTTTGTCCAAAATAACCCCAACAGACGATGATGCAAAATCCGATAAAAGGTCAAGAGTGGAGGCACATTAAATAAGTAGGACCGCTAATTCAGGTGCCACAAATGGTGTCATTGTTTACATAAAGTTAAAACTATGGTCAAACGAGAATCATATAATGGAACACGGTGGATTCTGACTTGGTTGGTATTGGCTTATTGTAATAATCGAACCAAACGAGGCATTTGAAAATAATTAAAACTTAAGTGGACGGTGGTCCCGCTTCAGTCAAGATCTGAGAAAGAAAGATTGAAGGGAAACCAAAATATAGTGTTTGAACAGACGAACAACCGCAGATGGTAATACAACAAACAATTAAATGATAACTACTCCTTACAATTCCACTATATTTTTGGAAATGTTTAAAGACATGAACGTTTTAATGACTAAAGAAATAAATGATAAAAAGTGGGGGTGCCAACGACCAAAAAACGATAAAAATGACTGTTTTAATATTTCATAAGTGTTGAACCACAAGTTAATTTCAGTGTGAATACATGATCGGCCTCGTTTGCTGCAATGTTGATTATCGAAGCGTGAATATAAGAAGTCAAAAACCCAGTCATGAAAACTGTTCCTCAAATAAAATTGCCAGAACCTTCAAACTATTTTTTGAGCATTTAAAGTGCTCGATCTATGTACATGAAGAAAGTCAAGAGTGATGCAAAATCCTAACAACACGTAGACTTACTCATCGAAAAGGATTTTTTTAACATTAAGCGAAAAATGAGTATTCAGACGCATGACACCTGCTATTGTTTTCGCAAAGCCAAGGAAACTACTAAAGCCCAGAAAAGAAGTAATGGCAGGTTGATGTGTTGACCGCTCAACAGATCCCACAGGTTAGGAGTTCCTCACTCAGGGCATTCCGGCGTTCAGGTCAACCTACTGAAGTTGATGATGGCCAAATCAAGACTGTACTTGAACCCGGTCCGCATAAACGGGGCACGAGAGCACAGAGGGGTTGTTTCACATACACACACACACACACATAGCAAGTGAAAACCATTCAAGACGTCTTCGACTTGTTAGAGAGCTCGACTTTTGGCTTCGGTGTGAGTTATGCGAATTTCGCCTAGCCCAACGAAACAACAATTGCGATGCGTGCCCCAAACACATCAAGGTTGGCCTTTTTGAAGAAATTCAGTACTAGTGACTCAAAATGGATCATTTTCAATTTACACCAATCGAAAGCGCTCGCGGTGCAGGCGCAATGAAGCAGCAAAAACCACACCGAAAGTTGAATTGCATCAAGAAAGGTCGTACTGTTAACTTCGTGGAACGAAAAAGGTGCTGTGTACTTTGAACTGCGTCCATGGCGCCAGACTGTCGATTCCGGTATTTGCTATCAATAACTCATGAAAGTGGAGAAGGCAATCTAGGAAAGGTGTCTAGAATAGGCAAGTCACAAAGTAAGCATGTTCCACCAAGACACTGCATGGTCGCACGTGCGTTTGGTATTGTTTGGAAAATTACTTTTGAGTTTGTGTGGGAAGTGATGTCACTTCCACCGTTTAGCCCTGGCCTCGCACCGTCAGACTACTACTTCAAATCTTGTGACTCTTTAAACGTTAACAATCGCGCTAATGGTGAAGGCCTGAGTTCTAACTTGCTTCGGCCTTTTGCTACTAAGGGCCAGAATTTCCACGAGCGCGCAGAACGTAAGTTGACAGAAAAGTGACAAAAGTTCATCTAGCAGAAATGAAAGCATTCTAATAATTGAAGCAAAAGACCTTGGAATAATAAACCAGAATGTTTAGCGACTTCCTTCTAATAATTTCAAGTCAGATCTAAAGCAGATTTTTACTATTACATTTGGTTTGGCAAACAGATCGATGCAAAAAATTACAGCATAAATATGTTATTGGCTAATCACTACCGTCCAGACGTATTTGTAATCACTCGGCGATTCGCACATATCATCTTTAAACAATTGTAGGTATTTGGCAAAATCCACTAATGGAGAAAACAGCAACTAGTCACCTTAGGTTTTTTCGCGGTAAAAAGTATTTACATAATCTAATCAAGGTGTTTATCATGATGTAATTAAATAACAAAAAAGCAAAATAATAAAAGAAACGGAGCCATGTTCGAAGATTTGCCGATATTATTAAGATGCGTATCCAGATTCATCCCATTTTAACGAATAACATGCATGAAGATTACATCAAAAGCTTAAACGATTGACTTCAATGGTGCAAATCAACAACAGTAAAACTAAATGGACCTATTTAACAAAATTATATAGCTAACCTCCAACATTACCTAACATTGAATTATTTAAGCATTTATTACGTTCCTGCTAGAAGTTAGGTCCGGTGCATGTTGTTGTGCTACGCTTATATTAAAACCGTAGACATACCGATAGATGCTGGCTGATAAATAATGGATATTTAAAAGTGCAGTAATGAAGAATCTCTGCCCTGGACACACTCTGTTGCAGGCAAAAGCTAACAACATTTGCCAATTAACCGCCATTAATGACAACACAAAAATTAGTCCGGACTGGAAGAAGCCTTCAACGGCAGTTTTTCGTTGTTACAGTAGCCAAATAAACTTGAATTTCAAGAGGTTGAGGTTTACTAACTGACAGTTCTGGTCAGTTGATCGTGAGCAAACTGCAATGGGCGAGATTTAACAAAGACTTCATTTATCTGGCCGGAAGCCAGAGAAGCCAGCACAAGGAGCCATTACCCTTAGGACAGCGGTGCGGTCCGGCGGCGTCAACGCATGTTCCGGCTACGAGGCGGAAGTTCCGCGCGCACCTCCGACAGGCATCCGTTCTCGGTCCAAAGCACTCCTCACAGTGTTCAGCACATCTAAAGCAAGGACCAAGACACGTGGCCTTTCCTTCGATTTTAGTCGATCTCTGGTTCTACTAAGCTTACTCTAAAGCAATAAACCTGGTGACGGTATGATGAGTTGATGATACTGAGTCCTTATTAGAAGGCTTTGACGATTGAAAGCTTACTTGAAATATTACTGCTTTATTTAAGAAAGGGGGCACAACAGAATTGTGATTCGATCTACGAAAACAAGCGAGCACTTTAAAAACGACATGGGGTTTTAATAGACGCCAGTTAATTGTACGAGAACCAAAAAGTACAACACATTAAGATAATTTGAAAGAAATACGATGGCTTAGCAGATTAAAATAAAGTATTTTAGTGTAATATTGTAAATTAATAATGCTATTCAAAAGTGCGAAAAATCAAAACAATCCTTGCAGGAAAGAAGAATGATCAGTTTTTGTTTGGGTTTACCATCGGTGTTGACACACCGATGTCACATGAAAAAACATCACTCATGATGGCGTCTCTCGAATTAAATATCCGGTAATCAGGGTGGTCGTGCGTCGAAATATAACGTCCATGGGTATCAACACTTCAAGACAATCAAACTACCTTAGTAGTAGTAGGTAACTATTCACCGAAACGTCAAACTACCGGCAAACTCGGCTCACATAGGGTCATTTTCGTAAAATTACCTAGCCGTCCTGGTCTATGGAGAGTCGAAACATATTTTCAGAATTGCATAAAGTAATTTTCTGAGGTAAACTCACTCACCACCTATGGAAAGTGAATTTTTAAAACTTTTCTCCATACCTCCGTTTATAAGTAAACTTTCACAGAAACTTAAGAAATTCTCAGGTTGTCGATAACGTATTCACGATGAGCACGAGATTGCCGCACGTGACACACAGGCATGTCCGATTACTTTTCCTAGAAAGTAGCCAATCAAAATTAAAAGGAAACAAGCGGACCTCGCATGCAAAAAATTGTGGCAATCGAACAATTTAACTTGACTCTCCTCTTTCTTTATTAATATTGTAACACTTTGAGTTATTATTTCGCTTCTTTTTAGTCAGGGGTTGGAATTTTGCCTTTAGGAAGACCAGTTAAGTAGGCAATCGGGTTCTTTAATTTATCGTTGAATTTCGGACTACGTTGTAGCTGAAGCAAATGAAGGCTTAATTCACCCAAACATTCGTTTAAAGATGACCTACTGTTCGCAAGTTTTACTTGTATCATTGGCGAAGTAACCACTTGGGCAACGGGACACACAGGAGCCAACTAGAACACGATTTTTGTCACCATCCGCTGTCAATAAGAGAGCCGATTCAAGGTTCGTCTCCGTCTCAGATACGGGAGGACTGAGAAACGGTGCAAGGTAGGAGTCGCCAGAGCAGGCGGTGCAGCCGTAGGCAGAGTAGGGTCGCAGACACTCTGCGCAAGCTGAAAAGCATCGTTCGCAGCGAAGTTCGTTCATCTGGCCACCAAGCCTCGGACGCGTTCCATTCAGCTCAGCTGACTGGTTCCGACGCATCATGACAATCATACTTATCAGCGCTGTAGTGCCAGCAGGACAACTTGCAACGCATTGTCTAAATATATAATAGATGATATAAATTAATGGGGAATTAGAACGTAAAAGGGAACAAAAACTAAAAAGTAATATCTTTGACTACCTCTGATCGCGTGTATGTAGACACCGTTGGGTAGGAAAAATCCCCCAATTTAAATCCAATTGAGGGGAATATGATGCATTTGCTGTGATGACCTCTCGATTTAACTGGAGGTACCTCAAGGACGGATGTCAATTTCTTGCGTCAGGTGGGAGTTTTACTACCAGTTTAAACCTTCTAAACATATTTGGTTTCACAACGCTTAAATTCGTTTTGGCGCAGACGAGATGTCAGTAGACAGCAAAAACAAACTAAGTACGTAAATGATCATAAACTGAATAATTTAATCAATAAAAGCCACTTAAAGCAGGATGGCGACGTTGTGATGCCAACGGTAAATTGCCGTGCGGATTAAATGTTGAAACTAACAGAGGCAGAAACGTTTAGTGAAGAAATCAGAAAGCTACAGTGCCTTCTGGTAAATTCCGATGAGTACACTGTGAACCACAAATGAAACAGTGTTTATTATTCACGTACCAAGTTTATTTGGCACTCTGCGCACAAAGGGGAAATTGTGCCTGGCAACAATTGTTCGAAGAGAAATTTCTTGTGACAAGTAAAGTTTGCTGTGGGATACTTTTAACGATTCGGATGTGCTCGATTTAATTAGCTGACACGACTCTTCAAAAACCGCCACCTTTATTTTACATCTAAATTTCTTGTGGATGATGCCATGCCTTGAAGTGTCCTATACACTGTCAACTCTGAAATATGAAACATATTGTTCACTGAAATTGCGACGGTAAAGGAAGCTAACCCCGAATACCTCAATTAAAAAATTCAAAATTTAAGGCTCCTGGTATTTTTTTACTATCATTTTGATTACCAGGCATAGAACTGTGCATTGAGAGCCCTATTTTGGCATTTGGGAAAACCTATTGAATGAAAATAAAAAAAGGTTCTTACAAATGCGCTAGCGAATGACGATATTTCTTAATTTTATGAAATTGCGTCGTGGATTCGACCCCGAAAAATCTGCATCTGCAGCGCAAATGTAGGAGGTGCGACAAGTTTAACTAATGTAAATGTTTAACAATTGGGAGCCCGGATATTCCTTGGGTCCCACCGAGAAAACAATAAATGGCCTTGGTACATCATTCGTGTAAATGATGCATTTATTCGACGTGGGTACATTGATTTGGCAAACACATTAGCAAGCAAAAACTTGACGAAAAACACATTGACTCAAGGAAACCTACAGTGCAGAAAAGGAAATCACATTCTGTAATTTCTAAAGTTGCATGACCTACGAGTCACTATGCAACTATTAAAATGACTTGCCAAAGAAAACTACTGACATATGCGAGCCATCTATAGAGGTGAAGATCACGGAAAGTATCGAACGCGAAAAGGGAGAGCCCTTCCTGTGAATTCAGCCACCTCGAGTAAAAGTTTGCGGTTAATTACCAAGTCACTCTGCTGTGCGAATAACCGCGCTGATTCACTTTAGCACGTAGCGAATCTTGTTGAATCACGTCCATCGACGCTGTCGCCGCGCTCTCCGACGCACCGCCCCCCGCTTCACAGCGCGTCCGTCAATCATGCGGGCCCGTCTGCATGCCCACACCCCTGCGCACGCACCACTCCCCCCCCGCATCACCCACCTGGCCAGTCAGTCATTTGTACTTTTACAAGTTCACTCAGACCATCGGTCAACAATTTAATCAGTCGTGCACAGCAACACAACAACCAGGCTAAGCCATCCAATAAACGATCGTCCCCGCCATCTCGGATCGGACGCAGTTGATCTTCTCGGGTATCGGTGTGGCGTATTCGGTGCAATATGCCGTGGCGGTTCCGGTGTGTGGTACAAGACAACGCGCCGGGGCTCCCAACAGACACATTGATGAACTACCATGTCATTTTGTGTTTTAGGTGGCAGGCAAATGTACATTAAACAGCTAATTTTATGGCAGGACATAAAGGTATATTCTAAATCATATCTATGCTATCCGAGTTAATAACGCTGATGTGATTTATCACAGTTCGTAGGTTACGGCAGCTTTGTAAGTATATGCTGCCCGAGTTGTGTAAAAATTTTCATTAAAAAGTCATCTGAGGCGATCCTCCGCACGTCGTACTCCCCATACACAGGTGCATTAACTAAATGCCTTTTATTTGTGGTGCTTCGATGACATATATCCCCTGGGGCACACAATCAGTAAAGTTACGTTCGAAGTAACTTAAACTTTATGATTTACCGCACGGCCGATGATGAAGATAAAGAGTTGTGCTGCCTAGTGACACTTAAAATCTGATTACAAATTAGTAATTACCAATTACGCAACCAGGTATCTTCGGAGAATTGTTGAAAGCACACAATTACGTGACATTTAACAAGGCTTCTTCGAATTAGCAGCGTTTGACAACTTTTGTTGCAGCCATTACATCCATGACTCCAGAATCCTGTGTATTTTATGCCCGACCTCAGTAGCAGCAGAAAATCCATCCAAACAGTTATTGCATGAGCTTAATCTTACTGAATCATTATCGCAGACCCTCCGCGTAGGAAATAACAACAAGTTTTAAAAACTACATTGACAGAGATTAAGGTGTCCCGATTAATCCCTCAGTAGAAACAACCTTCCTGAAGCAGGTTAATATAATTGAAAGATACGTATTAAAAACTTGTTTTTTGTCAAATCAAATAAATTGGAAAGTGCATTTGTACTACTAAGATGAACAGGAGAACCATAAAAGTAGGCCAAACTTTCAAGTTTCCTGCTCGAAATGACAACCTTTCAACAGAGAACAATATTCAGGCTATTATGAATTCCACAACAGAAATGAAAACCTACAATACTTTTTTTTGCATCGCCGAATCGTCCGCTTTCATTGACAATGGTAGGAAGAGGAGGTTTTAACATCTATTCATTCTCAAACGTCGTGAACTTTGCTTGCGGAAAGTAATAAAGTTCAAAGACAGGCTGATCTTAACATTGGAGTAATCAATACAAGACTACGAAATTGAGTGTCTGCGAAAGCAATTAATGAATAGTTTTCCCTGAGCAGGTTTGCATTTAAGCCGCATGTGTGCGTATCCTGTTTTTCGGGCTACAGAGATTTCTGGATTCACATACAGTTGCATGGATGTGAAGAAATATTGAAAAGTTGCCTTTGCTGGCCTTACAAACTGATATAGAATCAGTGATTCGTTGAATGAGATTCCTACTCTAACAAAAGCAGGAATTTTTTTCGTTCGTTTCAGATAAAAGAACTTTAAGACCTGGACTACTTTGAACCTTCATGGAAAATAATAAAAAAGGCTTTGGCGAACGCAACAATGACCATCTACGATGGTTTGGTGTCATTTGCCAACCTGCGAGGACAACAGAGCGTTTGGCACTTGACAATACACATTGGGGTCACGCTGACAAATTCTGGCCTTACAAGTTTACTAATGACTGATGAAGGCCAGGCTAATGGAAACCGCTTTGAGGCCGACTTCCCTAGCACTCGTATTACTCCGAGAGCAGGTCTGAGCGAATAATCTACTGGCCAAATGTCACTCACCGAACGCTCTAGGGCCTCTGTCAGTGGGCGTACTGTCTCCATAATTTCAGTTGCCCCCCACCGAAAGTGGTTATTTTGAAAGAAAACGAGCTCATATTGTTACAAAAAACCCGATTCCAATAAAATTAAATATAACGGGAGAAGGGCTAACCCGCTTTCAGTAACGTAGTTTTTGCAACCATTGAGACACTGGTTTGAGGAGGGCCCCCAGCACTCATTTTTTGCGCACTCACTATGGCACTAAAAAAACAAAAAAAAGACAAAATCACTCACTTATCGTTAAAACAATCAAAGGCAGTAAGCGCGGCCGAACAGATAAGACCAAAACCACAGCATCAAATTCGAGAATAACCTATGTATAAACTTGCAGAAAATGAGGAATTCTATAAAGCATGCTGTCATTATGTTGTTGATTGTAAACACAAGGGCGCCTTAACGGAGATCAGATTTGATTTGTGAGCTAAGATCTAGACAGGTTCAAGAAACAGCTCTAATAAGTAATGACCTGGATTGACAGAGGGAAACATTCCCTATAAAAAAAATTATTTAATTCCAAAATCATAGCGATGGGTATAAAAGGGACACTTGATGGGCTAGTGTTAGGCTAAGTTAGTTGACCAAGTTGTCCTATCTGGTCATGAATTACCTCCACAAATGTCAACCAGCTAACCAAAAATAATTCGAGATAAACGCGCTTTTTCGTTAAAACTGAAATAGAACCTACCTTAGGAACACAATAATTCATTATTTTTTTTTTCAATTCAATGGACAAATATGGGCGTAATCAAGACAACAACTGTGCGTGAAGGATGAGAACTAGGCGATTGCAAACTACCAATTTCGTGTGAACAAAGAGCCGTGTGGATAGGTGGACACATAAACACCAAGGGGTGTTTGAAGTAAAAATGGGCAAAACAATGTCGTCACGAAGGGGGATATTGTACAGGTATGAAGATGGATGCGCCACAGCAATTGGAAATGTCAAGAGATCGATCCGGGGAACAGGAAATGCGTGCTACTTATAGCCAATCTGTGGAGTACGAAATGAATAACCTAGAGAGATGCTCGAAAAGAGTAGCACCATTTAAGGTTGGGAATTTAATAACCGCTTTCAAGTGATCCAATGCAGCCTAATACTTCTGAGCTTTGCAAAAGACAACTAAGTTTATATTGCCAAGAGAGCCGACAGGAGGCAAATTTAGCGGACAATCCATTCCGCAATGGCGAATGAAAATACGGAAAATTGACTCAGTTACTAGCAGATATATGAAAGCATGATCTATGTTTGCGGTGGGAGTGGGTATTGGTTGTCAAAGAATCGATGTGGTTTTCGCAGGACGTCGACAACATCGCCGGAATAGTTGAGGTTTTTGGTTCAAACGTATGAATAAGCAGTCAGGTTGAAAGGTTCAGGGTTCTTAGGTATTAATTTACTGGAACGACCGTTAGAATCGTGTCCATGACTTTGAATTTTGCGTCAGCGGGACTCACGCATCGACATTGCTAGCGAACCACAATAGTTTGACAGAAATGGTGGCAGGTGCGATGTCAGCACCATTTTCAGTTTATGCCTTTTAACCAACACTCTACTGATATCTCTAAAATGGCTGCAAGTGCTTTACACTAGGGGCTGCGTTATTTCCTTTCAGCATGCTGTCGTGTTCTCCTCTGCGCTCGAGTTGAACGAAACGTCAACAACGGAAAACACACCAGGGAATAATAGTCAACAAAAATTACCCCTTCATCGAGAAGTAAGGACTTTACTTTGGCAGAATGGCAGTCAAAGCTACTTTTAGTCACATATTAATACCGGCAGTTGCTTCCTGAAAACTTTCGACTTCTTTATCAATGAATTACATTCATGCTTTGTGTGTTTATCAAGAGGGCCTTTATTCATTTTGGGAGATTTAAACAAAACTGTTTGGTTCTAGGGATACTACATAGAATCGGGTTCTACTTTGTTGCCATATGGTTAGGTGGAGCGTTGGCGTAAGGTAAAATTAACCGCAGTAATATTCAAACGGATTAGTGTAGGAATTGGTGCTTGAAGATTATGTAGGGCAGTGTTATTGCATCAATTTTCGCAGTATATCCATGAGTGTTTGCTCGCATTAAGGACGGAATCCGACATCTTTAAGGCAAGGTCAACTGATGGTATTCAAATGGCTCACCAAACTAAATCGCTAGCTACAAACGAATTTTACAAAAATCGTCCATTGACCAACTCGTGAATTAACTGTTGTGCATGCCCCGTCGTATCACGTTTCCACGATCCTTCTTGCTATCGGTTTCTATGAGTGGTAACTAACAATGAAATTGTGGACTACCTACCCAGCATAACAACAACCGTAAACTCTAGCTGCTACAATATTTGAACGACAAAATAATGCCTTTGTGCAAAGCGCATGCAAGACGATTTTTAGCGATACAATGAATGAGCTATTTAACGGTGTGATTATATGTAATACCGCTTTCCTTATTGAAACAATTGTAAGTATGTTTCTTGGGAATAGATGGAACTTATGGCAAATAGGCGGGAACGTCCATATTGACATCTCTTTGCCATTCCGAATTTGCTACGAAACCCTCCCATGGATGAGTAAGGGTCGTGAAAGTGGAGCTCTGATAGGGAGATCATCTTGCAGCGCCTTAGTATTTGAGAAACGATGCATCGAATAAGATTCATAGATCTTAATTAAAAAGGTTTGCAGATCTGAATACCTTTATTTTGTGGGCTTAACTAATCGTAGTTTTCAGGGAGTTGATCAAAAGACGATTTTATCGGCACGCAAACATTAGCAATACAACCTAACTACTTACCGAATATTCCGACGGAGATAACTCATCTTCTGAAACAACGTAGCGAGCGAATCGATCGAACCAGGCCTAAAGAAAACCCCAAAAGAGAGCTGATTAAACGTTCGCGTCGCAAATACGGCGTACGCCATACAATACGCAAAAAGGAACTCCTACAGTAATCTTTTGTGCTTATAATGCCTCTGCTAACCACGGCATTAAAAACGATAGGCTAATCCAAGTGGTGAACACTTGAGTTGAAGGATGCTCAACCTAACGTGTTAACAATGGCTTGAGACACATCTGCCACAATGACGCGAGGAGTTCGCACCTCATGGCTTCCAGCTGTTGACAATATGGACAAACCATTGGCCCCAATTGAAAAGCCTGTTTCGATGCGTCAGGGTAGGCAAGAATTCGAGTGCACAAAAATTGATGTAGATTAAACAGATAGTACCCTATACGACGCAGCTCATTACTAACATACAGAAAAAAATATTTACCCTCCATGATGGGGCAGGGCAATAGCAAAGTAAATGTTGAAAATATTTGAACCGAGGGAACAAAGCATGTTCGATAGTAAAAAACCAGTATGCAAGCGTTTTGAATATCCTTACTTGTCCATACACGTTGACATTTCAAGCACTTTCACTGGGCGAGGTTGTAAATCATTCATGCCAATGACCGAATTTTTACTCGGATTGATTGAAAAACGTTAATTCAGAATAGATAGCAAAAAGCAAACAAAGTAATTCGAACACAAACATTTGGAGACTAGTGGGAGGTTGCATCAATTTATCTTAAAATTAACATGTGCATTAGAAACAGCGAGCTAAAACCCAGAAGCACACGAAGGCTTTAGATCTGGCACTCACTTTGGGGGGTTGTCTTGTTTCTTTCGGAGGCTTTAGCCGAATGGGAAAAATCTCAGTTCCGTAGGCGACCATGTGAACGGATTCCCATTGGCCAGTTGCTTTGTCCAAAGCCGGTTGGCGGTTTCCCCAAGCAGACAGCTTTCTAAAACCCTCCTTATTGTCGATTATTATTTTCCATTCACCCGCCGATGGTTCTCCCCAAAACTGAACGCTCATCAGTGGCCAACGGTCTAGGCCCTTGAATTCGGACAAGGCATCGATCAATCGAACCGGCATCAGTTCAGAGATGGTGCCTGAAAGAAAGGGAAAAGGGTTTTGAAACCATAAAAGGAAAGCCAATGAGCAAGTCTCAGTCGCAACAAAGTTTTCTAAATAGGTAACCACGTAGTGTAAGCAAAATACATTTGTGTGTTGTCACACAAAAACCCACAAATCTTTTTACCAATTACTGATGCGTCTTTTCGTGACTCCGGCCTTCTTCCTTCACCCAGGATTCGCCGTGTGAGTTTGCTACTACAGCTCGTGAACCTGAAATTCAACATGACTTAGGCGAGGCAGTTGTCCTGCACCCTGCGTCCGAACTGGAAAGTCGACCCCTTACTAGTTCTACACTCCCATGCAATTCCAGATGGGCAATCTCTTCCCAAGAACCTCACAATCGCTGACTCTGATCCGCCCCAGGCTCAACCTGGCCTCGACACTCCCACCTGGCACAGGTAGTTCTGGCCGCCATTCGACGACTACAACCAATCGCCTCATTAATCTCTTGGCAACCACCAGTTCTCCCTGGACCTAAACTTGACAGCAGTCACTTGCCAAAACAGCTTTCTGGTTACAACTCTTTGATTTGTTCCACTTACGACGAACCCGTCAGGAATTTTATTGAAAAGACAAATCAAGCAAGATCTGTTTCGAAATTATTCGTTATTATTCGGAATGAACCGCAATGTGACTACAGTTTACCATTACCATTCAAATTCCATGGTGTAAAGCTTTGACAGCCAAATCAGACCTGCATTAACAGTTAAGTAATTTATACCAGTATCCTCAATCTCACCATGAATTCAATCAACGGTAAAGGAAAACAGGGAGAGTTACTGAGCGGAAATTGTTTGAGGAACAAAACTGGACTTCCTGGGCAATTCAGCAATGCGGCATTTCAGACATCATGGCTTAAACCACGCAATTATGGGGGCTATTTGGAAGCGCGTTTCATATATGCTTTCAGTTGTGGCAATTTTTGAGAGACAAGAGCAGCCAGTGAGTCGAATAGCCGATTACGTCGCCACAGTGACTATAAGCTCTATTTTATTATGACTGAGGCTTGGGAAGAACCCCAGGAATCTGTCAACGTAGTTCTAATGCTTATGCCCGGAGTACAAGACTACAGGAAATATTACGGTAGCAGCAAATGATAACGCGGCATAAATTTGCTTCACTAGCTATGGTTTTGTAAATGTATGTGGCAATTGTATATAAAAATGGGTTTGGGAAGGACTAACTGACGCTAAAATGAAAACAATGAAACAATTCACTGTCAACCGCACTAGAGGACTCGCACTCAGGAGTCTCATGACTAACTTAGGTCACTTGGTGCAACAAAAGCAACATTCCTAGTGCGTGGGATGTTATGAAAATGCATCTCAGAGAAATGGATAAAATGGAAAACCTATGTGGACAAAATACGATTCGATTTCAATTTTGGTTGGCGTCTTCGCGCTGTGCTGCAGAATGTCAAAGAGCCTATTAGTTCCCAGCGTGCAATGCTAAAGGATATTGATAAATCATTTACGATAGGGATTAAACACAGCCTTCGAAACAACTAATTTAGGTGCAATAAATCGTTTATGCACTTATACATAACGTTAGCCAGTGGTGCACTTCCAGTGTACCCTTTCAAAACTGCACCCTTTCGTCTCAATCATTTAGCGAAACACATATCCACGACGCTTGGTTAACGTTACAAAAAGCATAAAGAGCACAGGCAGAATTCGCAGCTTGCACTACAGCGTGGGACGAAACAAACAACTGGGCTGGGACTTCCGTTTATTAGACCAATATCGCGCAACGCAGCATTCTCCGAAATTCTAGTCGGAGTTACCACATAACTTCCTCGAAACGCCTGCCTCACTGTCCCCTGGCAACGTTTTTTCCCCTATTACAAAGTGACCAACAACGACTCTGTCTTCCAACCAACTGTAGTCGCAAATTCCTTAAATTACTATATTGGCGACAAATACTTAGAATGGTGTTGACTTCAAAGTCGTAGACATTTAATTTTCGTGCCCAATAACGGTCAAAATGCAGGTCACTGCCTCATTTTCCTCGGTTTCGGTAAAAACCGCCTTCGGGCCTTAAACCTTTATAACGTTTCTGACCCTTAACAAGCTCTCAGTTTGACCACACCTTGCTGAACACACCTTGATCAATTAGGCGTTTTTTCTTTCTTACCAATTACATGCATTGTTACTCAACGACGCTCTTCCATCAGTTGCCTTGCATATGTACCCAGGTCATTCTAGCTGAATACCTCCAATATCTCCCATCTTCGAAACGTTTAAAACAACCCTAAAGTTGTGTGCGAGACCTACAATCATGAACCGATCCCTCTAGAAAACATGCACCCAGTAATTACTAAATAGGAACACACTTTGCTTCAAGCAGCAGGGCGATAATGCCGACAGCGAGCGGTGCACTGGCCGAAGTACCAGTATGGGAATTCGTACAACCATGATTTAAGTCGGTGGTCACCTAAAACGCAAAAGAGGCAGCGTCCGTTGTAAATAAATATAAGTAAAGACACCCATGCCAAATATGAACAGCAATCAGTAGTAGTGTGTTCGAAAATTGCGGCAAACACCGACACACAGCCATGGCGCACAGCAGCTTTTGAACAGTGCATCTACCTACTAACACTAGTAACGCTTTAGCCAGACAAGTCAGATTGGACGGTACGATGAGAAGACCAACCCCAAAACATATCACCTTTGTAGTTTGGGGCCTGTTTGGCAGGCGCCAATGACTTTCAATGTCAGTAGGATTTCAATGCCAGGTTATAATAAGTATCGGGAAGCACACGTAAGTGTGGAAGTCTGAGCATCATCCACCAATTTCACTGACATGCCATTAAAAAAGTAACGCATTAGCCGAAGGAGAACAGCCTTCAAGATATTCTAAAGTTACATTTTCAACAGGTCAGTGAGTTACATGCCATGCCTCCGTGTTTACCAGGCTAACACGGCAGCGCTGTGACTTAAAACCTTGACAGCAAGATCTGATAAAGGAAACGCCTGTCAGGAATGCACTTTTAGGCCGGGTAATGAAGCTCATCGAACTTTGGACGGTGGACAGTTAAGCGATGCGAACACCAGGGTTGCGCTTCCGTGCGACGGTCCAGTACACAACGCAGTAACGAGGCATGATACTACGTCATAGTGCTTCGACTGGTATTGTTTGGATGTCCATAATGGAAACGGTGACTCACAGAGGAGGGGAAAAAAGTCTGGTCAAAACAAATACGACGGTGCTAAATAGGAAGCCTAGGCTGATCAATCAAAAAATCAAATTTAACTAGTGCAGCATTTTGACGATCCAACTGCTAGTATCAAAAGGGAGCTGGAGGAATTTAGCGATTACGATACTACTTCTGCGTGTGATATATATAACTTCAATGAATAAGATTCAAGAGATACACGAAATGCGACACACATGTTTACACTAGACACGAAAAAACGCAAAGCCTGAAAATTCCATAGTTTTTGATGCAATAACGAGAGATCCACGGCAAAAGTCGTCGTAAGCAAATTTGCGTCTATCTGTTAAGCGCGCGCCGCCAACTTCAGTAGAGTGGCTTTTAAACCAATGAACTAAGGACTTACCGGTTCTTAAATTTGAAGCACTATTACACACAAACACATCTGAGGCATGACATGACACAGAAGTATATGTTGAAATTCCGGTACTTCAGTTATAGTGATTTGAGAAAGAAATGTACTTACAGCTTAAAGGGGCGGAAAGCCTGAAACGTTTTCAAGCACTGCTGAATTTAGACTAGTTGTTTTTACACATTTTTGAGTTTTAAAAACACGGTCTAATAATTGGTACTGACACGAAATGTGACCTATCAGCAGTTTCCCAAGATGAGCAGTGAAGTGACCGAGAAATATGTTTCTTCACGTTTCCTCCAAAAGTAGTGTCACTTTCGCTGTAACATTCAGCATACCATTGATATGTAGGATTATTCTCTGAATCTCATCCCAAGGTCAGGCCAAATTCTCAAAAACATCCACTTCAGTTCAGTGGTCAGGTGGTACCTCTGCAAGGCAAGTGAACCCTTTGATTATTGTGCCAGGCCATAGCGGAAGGTGACAAGCACCGATTGCCCTCCGTACTCCGGTTGTTGGGGTGAGACTCAAGGATAATCCTACACGGGTCATTCTTGTTTGTTTGATTTCACTAGCACTGGCAAAGGACACAATGCACTGGATGATTGCAAACGCAACAAATCCGAAAATCGCGAATCGCGGTCTGTGCTGAATGATGATACAGGATTCGCAGGCAGAATTACGCAGGGTCCGTGTTTGCAGTGATGCACTGCTGGTCGTCTGCATCCATCCCACAAAATGCACTTGGAAATCGTAGAGAGCACGTATGTGGTAATTTGTCATTGCGAAGTTATTTGAAAATGACTTAGATAAGAAACTTGTGGATTTGAAGGGGGATACACATGTCCGTGAATTGTAGAAACTAGCCGTCACAATCTAAACGTTCTCAATAGGGATCGGTTCCAAGCAGGACTCGGCAAATTAAGCTTAATTCAAAATAACACCTAATGTTGGTTTATGGAATGACAACAGTTCAATGCATACCAATAAGATGACGTGTAAATATGGGAAGGAGCTTCTGATGTTCTTCGATATCGTGGATTAAAAAACCATGAAAACTGGTGAAATTGTTTCCAAAAAACAGCAATACCCATGGCAGTTCGGCATCTTTTGCTTTGAGTTCGAATGGCGTTTTTCGAATCAGACTTGAAAACCATGCATCACCAAAACCTACGATTCCTGATTCGCCGGGTCCTCCACTGCTGTAAGTTGACACCATTGTTGCTGCGCACTTCTCCAGATACCAGGGATGGGAGTTTTGTTCGGTAACGCTGCTTACTGCCAGGGTGTAGATGCTGCTTACGTAGCCGTCGGCAGCACACGAATCGCCGCGTCGACCCCCGTTCCCTGAGGCCCAGACGAACACGTTGCCCAAACCATTGCGACCCTTAAAAAACCATGCGAAAAAATCAAAGTAGCAGGACTGCCCACTTTTGTACGCAGAATGTTTGTGTGTGTGTGTGTGTACATGACTCTCAAGTCAATGATTTTTTACGCGAAGCACTTAAATGCTGTGGATACCGATGGAGATTAGCAGTGTGCAAGTGCTATTGATTCGACTGCAGGAGGCCAAACCACGGCATAGGACGTTGTAGAAAAGACTTCTAAACATCGAAACCTTAAAAAGTAAGTGGTAGGGCGCTATCGCAATTCGGTTAAAACAAATTAGACATTTTTATATGCAGGACTCGCATAACTGTGAGACGGTCAAAGACACCAGAAACGCCTTTCTTAATGTATGATAAGTCGAACGGAGAACAAAATAGCACGTTTAAATAAACCACCACCGAAATGAAATATTGGTGCGTGCAGTGTCCAATGAAGACGGATAATATCAATGAAGCAAATATTTTAAGCATTATATATCAGTACCTAAAAATTAAAAATCGTGAGAAAGCATGCAGTGAATACTCGTGCAATTTTACACACTGTATTTCTTGCTCCTACCAAACAGATGTAAGGAATAAGACCTCAAGTAAATCCTCAGTCAGTGTGTGTGAATTAAACAAATCGGATCAACAAGTCTTTTGAAATTACAAAGACACTACAACTGAAACGACATATCTGTGTCATGGGTTCGAACATGCTAAATGGGCAAATCATCGCCGCATTGCGATACCGCAACCCCAGTGCTTTCTGGAAGTTCACAAACGCTTTTCTACCGACGGAAACGCAGAAGTCTTACCAAACCACTTAGACTGCATTTAATGTGTCCTTAGAATGGGACACTAAACAAACATAACTTAGTACATATAAAGTCTCTGGTTATGCATTACTATCTCATACTCTGTAATCTTGTGCAATTCTAAAACCTTTCCCCTCTCCCTCCTCCGTCCTATGAGTTTAAAGGTTGTTTTCACATCGTCTTTGGTGGACATCTCAAGCCACTCGAGCCTATATTTTGTTAGTTTATACGTGCTCTGGGAAGCAAAATACCTTTGGTGATCTGTCAAACATACTTTGAGTAATTACGGGCGACTACCATACACAGAATGCCCGGAAGAATGGGTTCGTCTTCTTTCGGAAGAAGTCTGCCGTTGGGCCTTATCATTATTATCATCAACAACCAAATTGGAGTCAGGGTTAAATCAAGTCCTCCATAGGCAATACTTTTTGTGCTGGACTGGAGCCGTTGAATTCGATCCACTAGGCTTCAGCACTTGGCGCAGCCACACAAGATTCATCAGCAGAAAGTGAGGCGTCAACATAGACGCACACAATGGGGGTACTGATGCTTCGCCAAGCAACCATGTAAAAATGTCCTAAACACCGTGTTGCTGGCCGCCTACCAAACCGATCCAAATGCAACCCACACAATCCGCCTCGTTGCATCATTGTAATGTCTGCGTTTCCACAGCTTTATAAACGAAATTTTTGCAACAATTTATGTCAAAAGGCCAGTACAACCAACTGGTCATTGCTCTCGCGCGAACCAAAACGTTTTTTTTTTTCAAGTCCATGACTCAGTCATTGTGGTAGAAAAAAGTAGGTTCAGACGCGTCGCCTCCCCCCTCCCCGCCTAGCTAACCAGCCGTTCGAGGCCGAAATACCACTTGGCGTGATGGCTACCGTGCGTCTAGCGCGGTTAACACCCAAAGCATGGCGCGAGGGCGCGTCGTAACTTGTACGAGGGCCCTGAGCTTTCTCAACGCCATGGCCTGGTGATGAGTCTGGCTTTTAACCGATTTTGAACAAAATATCGAAGTATAAATAAATATTTACTTTCATAGGTTGTTCTATATTGCAAAATTGTTTTGGCTAAAATAAGTTTGGTGAAAGTAGCGCACTGCGTAACGAGCATTAGAAAAAAAACTAGCACGATTGTACTTTTAGAGGTCTGGAGAAGACCTGTGTGAAGTTATGGGAAATTGACACAAACACTAATGACACGATATCGATGAGGACAACAATTTATATTGACTACTAATGTGTAATGATTTGAGCACAACCTTGGGAAAATGGGACAATTTATACCCAAATAAAGAGACACGACAGAGTGCCTCAATTTACCTGATTTTTCTTACTGCATTATCGCATATTTAGGCCACAATAAAAGCATTCACCACATTTAATGCTTGCTCAAGAAATTGACACGACAATATTTGGGGGAGTAAAAATGCAAATGAAGTCAGCTACCTGAGAAAGAAGATGGAGGCCGAAAGGATGTTGTGATTCCTTCGGCATTTCTGAGGCAACTGTTGCCGAGTTAAAGCTGAGGCACTGAGGCCTCACGACACAGTCGTGGTAGGATACACGTGAAGATAACCAAACATAGAGGAACACAATTGTTTGTCTGGTTCATTAAGGCGTGCACATCTGATTGGTTTAGTTTAAAGGTTTGGGAGTTCGAGCAGCGCAGTGCGCAATTGCTGGATTGTGTTGTCACTGATTACAAGATTTCGCATATGTGAACACGGTGTGGTTTTCCACATCACCAATGACACACCGATACCCACGTGTTTGTACGCCTCAAGGCAATGCACCTATTAACAGAAATATGAAGGTAGAGTAGCAACGCATTTTCTCTGGGTGACATTGAAATTGCAAGCATTTTTGATCTCATTTCTTCAGATCCTGGCAAGCTGTCCCAACTTCGACGGAAGTGAGTTTTCACAAATACGAAGTTATCGATTGTGGAAAAGCAAAAGTACTACAAAGTACCTAAAACCGCGTCAAACAATCCACGTCGTATTCACTGAATGGTTTAAACAGGATTTTAATCCAACTAATGGTGAATTAAATAATAAATTGTAGCTTAATCAGATCAAAAATATCCCGTAATGTTGCGCATTACCGACAGTGAACACAGATTTGAGACTATGCTTGGCAGTTTGCAGGGATAAGGAACACAGGACCAGGCCGCGAAGCCATCAAGGCAAATCGGACAGGACGTGTACGTGACTTCATCAGACGTATTACCAATTAGTTTCTGGATTTGGCTTGAATGTCTACCAGTAAACGGATAAGGGCAAAACTGGCCGACTTGTTTGAGGAGACTTGAATTAGTATACTTCTAAACTATATATTTTCCAAGGACCGATAAATTGCAAAAGTATGCAAGTAGACAGATTGTATCCAATTAACAATTATTAGATGTAGGCGTCATTGTGTAAACATTGTCACTGTGGTTTGCTCTCACAAAAAAAGAAGTCGAAATCAGAAGGTGACGACTACGTTGGTTGTTTCAACAGAGGTCCTTAAGCACTCGAGCCATTTTGAGTGGGCGTCTGGCGTAATTCAACGAATGTGAAAACTATTGATCCACAATTCTCAGTAGTCGGGTTTTGACACTATCACAACCTGAGGTTTGAATTAAGTAGAAACTAATTCTGCAATTTCAACTATCCCTCAAAGAAACAATAATAAAATCTAATTTGATGCAACAAGGAGGGCTAAATGTTCTCATAGATGAATCAACAGTGGGGACGGGGCCCAGCATGCTTACCGTAGTTGCTCCCTTGTGAAAGGCTTCAGAAGCCATTCGTCCAGGCCCTTCGTAGATAATACCCGTGTCGTCTGGACCCCAACTTCCAGAGTAGATGTCAATGTAGTTTTGATTAAAATTTAACGACTCCGCCTCCACGCGGTCTGTTATTGTTCCATCTAACATCCGAATGCCTAGAAAACAATACGTAATTGACTCGAACAAGGGATCTGAGGTGCCAGTTCCAGCGCCACATCTGCTGTTTTCAAGAAAATCCTTGAATTTGCCTAAAGGCTATCGCTCCATTTTGCCACAAAACTGGACTCAAAGTATTATTCCCCAACACACTAATTCACTTTTTCCATTACCACGAAACGAGATAAATAAACTACGATAAGACTATTCATGGATAAAGTGAAAGGATACATGACCCCATGTTCGTTATATGCAAAAATACAGTAAGGTAGGTACAACCTCTAAGCGACAGTATTCACACCGAAATTGTGGAGCACTGTCAGACAGCACGACGCGAATTGGCCAAGTTAAAACCAGCACAGCATCACGGACAATACACATGCATTACTTAAGACGTCAGAAGTGAAGCCTGCAAAATATTTCATCAAATTCCACTAGACCGTCAAGGTCTAGACAAAGTAAAAGCACTTGATAAATACTCGAAGCAAAACAATAAAATGGCAAAAAATGTAAAGACAGCCTCAAATCAAGTTGTCCTCATGTCACAGACAGGCATCGTCCTCCACAAATTTGTGACTACAAAGACAGGAACTGTTTCCTGTAAGATGAAAGTCGAAGGAACATCGAGCATGCATTAAGGAATGCGAACAACGTCGAAAACCAGTGCTAATACATGAAGCCTGAAAATTACACAAACCCATCAAAAAATTCTAAATATTGACTCATCTCCTAACACACATTCAGTGCAGACTAGTCATAATTAAGCGCGCACCATTAAAAAAGGTGACAAAGGTCAAGCATTAGCATGAAATTTGTAGCGTCAATGGCCACCAATTTGGACCGGTCTGGTAGAATCTGGGAAAGAGAACACGTCGAGGTACCGCCATTCTGACGTTAGGCCGAGTACAAGTAATATTGGAAATAAATTACGATATGCGCGAATGGCAGCAACTACGTTACCGCACTTCGATATCCATAAAAAGGCATCTGGCATGATAAGTGACGACTGTGAGTAAAGTATGAACACATGATACTAGATAGTGGGGTGCAGTAATTTAGCCATAAGTGTCTCAGTGATATCTAACTAATGACAACAACTTTCTGAATTCATCTTTGCCAAAAGGCAAAACTAGTGGTTAGAGGCAGTGTGAGAGCTGAACAAATTTAAATCCAAAATAATTAAGTGTTAGATGTGATCAACCACGGCCTAGGTACTGTAGTGGCCTTATGATATAATAAAATTGCTTTTGAAATCGTAATCAGGCTACCTTTATAGGCACCACAGGCGGCAATAAGACATTCTACCTAAGTATTTACAATCCAAAAGTTGTGGGTTTGCGAAGGAGATTTAGAAACGACAAAACAATACTAAGACAAAAGGGGAGTTACAGAGTACATGAACCACGGCAACTTGACAAAAGGAATAGAAATATTGAACCTGAACTAATAACAACACCACCTTCCAAGGAGTTTGGACCTTCCGAAACGATCCACAATCGAATACGACTTACCCACTAGATTTTAATTACACTTTATCGTACATTCAGTACCAAGCTGCTACCACTCCAAAAAAAACAACTAAAAATCTTCACATCGTAACTGATCATCTATAATTGCGGTAACGTTCAGGGCATGGAGGCGTTTATTTGAAGTAGGAATTCCCGGTTGGTTGCGTATGAAACAGACAATTCAATAATGCATCTAATAAGCTAAGACTACCATGAATGCATCCGCGAAACAACAATAAATCCAGAGAAACACGAAATCAATCAACCACAAAGCTTTGCCGAAACTAAACAATCTGTCAGAAAAAACATAAAACGTACAGAGGTAAATATAGTTCAAACAAAGACGTGGATGCAGTTAGAATAAATAACAAAATTCCGATGAGGCTCAGTCTTCTCGAAAAGAGTAAACAACCTTCCAACACTGACGTGCACTCGGCAACGACT